TTTTCCCAATTTAGATTGGGTGGGTGGGTCATGAAATAAATTTGGTAAGATTAGATGGGCTTTGAAATTTTTATCTACATCCTAAGATGGGTCACCAAGCTTTTCGGGCAAAATTTGTGATTTAACTCCAGCCCACCCTAGCAGTTACTTTATGACCAGTCCCTTATCTACTACCTATATAATTTCTAAACCGATTAGACTCTCAAACTACCTTCCATTACACCACCCAAGCAAATCAATAATATTCAAGTTGGCTTAAAAATGTATATATGTAACATCAGTATTACATTGATTTCCATTTATAAAATAACTTCAATCGTTTGTATATTTTATAATATCGTTTGTATAATTCACCAAAAACGAGAACTAATGTACAGTTGACCCTGACAAAACGCCTCTAAACAGAATATTATAAAACGAATTCTAAGACAATCTTAAATAATCCTATATAATACAATTATAAACTAAAATTATGATATTTTTTTACAAAATAAATTCCCTTTGTGGATGTTATTTACTTTGAAAGTTTCCACGTATAGGTGAGTTTCAGGTCTTTTGATATGGTACTGCAGATGCCGAACAACTTAAAATGTGTTCGAGCAAGAGACGCTTAAATCCCCCGCACAGACGGTTTACAAGTTTCCCTTAACAAGTTTCTTTTGACAAGTTTTGTTACTCATGTGCACGCAATGTAGCTAAACATTTATCTCACGTCAAAGCCGCCTTTTGTTTGCCAAAACCACAGAAGTATATCTTGTACACTTGTCACGTTTTCTTTGGCGACCGTTACTCTGAGAGCAGAGCCTGATTTCCCCTCTGCAGGGTAGGCGGCCTTACACACGAACACATTTTCCTTGTCCAAAAGCTGGAATGACTATAGCTTTGCAACAAGGCTTCTTGGCGAGGAAAAAGGCTTACACACGAGTAAATAAAACTTGTGAAGGAAAAATTGCCCGTCTGTACGGGGCTTTAACGCTTCTATTAAATGTGTTTGCCACCACACAAGATCAATACATATAGTGAATTAAAAAGTGTTTTAAAAAAATAGATTAGGTAGCCAGAGATACCGAATGGTTACTCCAAAGCTTTCGACATTTCGACCCCTGCTGAAAGCATTCAAAATGGCTGGTATATGGTATATATACTCTGTGCCATAATTCGCTCGCGTCATTTGAGATTTTTCCGTAAAAATGATTTGTATCAGTTAGCCCTTGTTTAGCGGTACTCGGCAATATTAGTGGAGAACTTTAAGCTACCCATTAGTCTGTCTAATACAGTGAGCTCCGTATATATATTGAGCGAGAACTCCAGAACGTCAGTTCCAGTCCTTTTCTATTGTTTTTGTCTGCGCGGTCTGCAAGTAGTGTGCCGAAATTTCGTATGTTAATTGTTAAAGAATAATACTATGGTTTTATGACTTTTATCATAGGTTTTATGAACTGATAACTTGATTAGCGATAACCGGGATTAGCTGAGGGAACTGGTATTAAAACTAATTCCGTCATCTTGGCCAAATGACCACACTTCATGCTCCAGATATGTATATAGAGCTCACTGGTCTAATACAGCCTTTGATAAATATAACTCTATCTATATATTTAAAAAAAATAAATTACGTATTCATGGGACTGGACCGTTCAATATTTAAAATACTTTCGTCCAGTTCAGCAGCATATATACAAACCAGTAAATGAACATGTGATTGATATGTCTGTAAGATGAGTCGATTTGTGTCCAACTTTGGTTGCAGTACAAACACAGATTTATTGTTCTATAAAAATTCATTTGCACTCTGTTTTGTAATTACTAGGAGCAGTGGCGGAAAGCGGGGGCAACAGCTAAAGCCCTGGGCAAACTAGGAAACATTGTTGCGGAAACATTTGTGATTCTCGATGTTTCCTCAAATGTTTCCCTGTTTGCTCACCCGTGGAGACATTGTTGCGGAAACAAAATTTACTTCCCGAGAAGCAAAAATGTCTCCTAGCAAATTCAGAAACATTTGATGTTTCGCTATGTTTCTCACTAATGTTTCCTAGTGTTTGCCCACTCTTGGAAACATGGCGAAACGTTGGTAGGAAACAATGTTTCCGCAACAATGTTTCCTAGTTTGCCCAGGGCTTTACTAGGAGCAGTGGCGGAAAGCGAGGGTGGGCGGGGCAACAGCTAAGGATGGTAGCTGAGTGACTGTGCTAACGTTACAGAGTATTTAAAAAAAACTATGAAAGCATTGATAAGTTATAAATTAAGCAAGCTTTCGTTGGTAGGAATGCAACCATACTTGAAAAATAAAAGGAGAATTTCGACGTTTCGAGCGAAGGCCCTTCGTCTTCATTCGAAACGTCGAAATTCTCCTTATATATTTTTGAGGTAGTTGTATCTCTACCAACGAAAGCTTGTTCATATTATTGCCACTACCTACACTGGCACAGACACTTCAAGATTATAAATTAAGCAAATTTGCTCCATTGCAAATATAAGAAAGAGCAAGATAGATAACTTACAGACAGAACAGGTGACTGTAAAGATCCATTCAACAAAACTGTATGTACTCCATTGTCTTTAGAGAAACTGAGATCTACTTGACCACTTCTTGAGAATACGGCACGAAGACAGAAAAGCAAGATCGTTTTACCTGAAAAATTGAAATGTCAATGTCTGTTGTATGGCTGTATCAGTTCTACATTGCTTTATCTCGTGGTCCAATAAGGGCATCGTGTTACTAATGTAGGAAACTAGAGCACCAGGAAAAATCTTAAAACCTGCGGTGTTTCGAAGAGTGAAACTGGAAGCGATCTTCTCACATGCTACTAAGTACTGAGGAAAATTATATAAAAACCTGCATATTCACATTTTATTGCAGAAATTGAAGCCTATTCACAGAGTGAAAGTGCATGAACTAACCATACCAATATACATACTGCAATTTTAACAAAAATAAAACTTACTGAGCAGCGAGTTGCCGCAGTGAAAGTGATACGTGAATTTCTGTCCTTCAGCTGGATATAAACTAACAAACGGCAATAATGGCGGATACATCAATTTACTCGAATCACACAAACAACTTGCGATCGCTGTTTCAACACAACGTTGAAGCCTGAAAAAAGAGTGAAATAAAGTTCACCATATTAATAACCAAAGAAAAAATTAACCAATAACATTGTGGTGTTTAATCCAGGAAGAATACTTAGAACTGATAAAGCTATCCAGTACAAGAAGAAAATACAAAAGAAATCATGACTGTGAAGGAGTTTGTATATCTGATACAAAATCATGCTGATTTACATAAACTTTAAGTTCAATTTTCGCACCAAATATCATTCAGTTATTTTAAATTGTTGAAGAATACGAAGTTCTCGTCAAGATGAATGGCGTTTCACAAACCATTCACAACATTTGCGTCCAACACGGTCGCTCATGTTTTAAATATTACTTAAACAATGTTCACCTACTTTTTGCTATGTGATTCAAGCATATCACGAATCTCAAAGTGCCCGCTTTGCGCAGCCAGCTGGGCAGCGGTCAATCCAGATATACTTCTCATCTGACAGTCAGCACCATGGGCCAACAACATGGTGACCACCGAGTAATGGCCTTTCACACACGCCTGAAAAAATCATATGCACTAAATACATAACTGTAAAACGTATGGTAATCTTGTTTTCAAACAAGAATTCAGAGTTGGCAGCAGCATTTGTGGTGTGGTGCTCACCACGCTGCCTTTCAAAGCTGGGAGACCCGGGTTAAATCCTTGGTCGGACCTCTACTCAAGGTCTTGAATGATTCAGGAGAAAGTGCTACCTTTACATTGAGATCAGTAAATGATTAGACTTTCGCGTCTTGTCGGATAAGGACGTTAAATCGTAGGTAACTCGAATCTCCTATCAATTGAGCAATACACCCTTTTCATAAATGGCTGCCGATTAAAAATTATTTTATGTGCATATAAATTGGCCCAACTAGCCTCGTTTCTGGGTAGAAATTCCTTTGAAATCTTAACATGAGTACGAGGCTAGTTGGGCCAATTTATATGCACATAAAAGAATTTTTAATCGGCAGCCATTTATGAAAAGGGTGTATAGCCTGTTGAGAAATCAGCTCACCAATGAGGGAGTAACTCAATAAACACAAACTTAAACTCAATTAACAAATTGTTACAGCGGACATTTCAAGCTCTAGACTAATAACGTAAGGGTTTGATGAGTGTTCCAGCTATGTTTTAACTTAAATAGAATACATGATAGTGTTGGGAAAGCATTAAGAACAGTTAACCAAGGTCGTGTGACTGCCAGCTCTCACACACTCTCATTCTTGTTTTATCAGGGCTTAAGACCCTTTTCACTGACTATACGGTTATCCTTCTTATCCACTGACCTTTATCAACGCCGTTTCACCGCTCAATGTTTGTTTAGCATTGATATCAATTTCAGCATTCAGTAAGAGAGACACGATGTTTTCAAACCCCTACCAATAAAAAAACAAGTTATGTATAATAAAAGAAACTTAAACCGGTCGGTCGTTGGGATAGTTATTTTTCAAGGTTTTGGTCGTTGGTTGGTAAAAGCCAAATTTCAGTATTTATACATTAAAGTTCGTAATATCCATAGTTCACAGTTGTTTAGGTATTTAAGATTTTGCAAAGGTTGATTGGTGGCTAGTGCTATATACGGTCTCCCTTGAACACCATATCTTTACCTGTTCGCAGGCTGCAATGAGAGGTGTACTTCCGGTGTTATCCTTGATGTTAATATTGGCGCCATGGTTCAGCAACAATTTCACGATATTTTCCTGGCCAAAGGTCACAGCTCTCATCAACAACGTCATTCCTGTGACACTATCTTGTGAATCAATATTCATTCCGCCAGCCAGTGATGCCAAAACTGTAGCTGCGTCACCTTGCTTAATGGCGATCTTTACTTCGCCTATTTCAATAAAGAATACAACTTAAATTTTAAATAAATTAACTGGAGAAGTTGCTTCTTAGCTAGGGAATACTTTTTAAAATTACTTACGCAATGACATTGCCGTAGGAATTCCAGTGTGAGATACATGCATTTTTTCTACCTATAAAAATAGTATGAAAAGTGCTCATTAAAAATATTTTAGTTTACACAATACATGCCACATTTCCAGTTCTTCAGCTTCACTTAGAGATAGACTTTATGTGCACTTTCATGTATTTTATTTTAGTAAAACATAGTTGGGAATTGAATCTTTATTTTGTTAATCTAGAGCTTGAAATCTCCTCAATAAGAACATACAAGTATCTGTATGACAAACCTTTTGAACGATCACCTCCCCCGGACTGTAATCATCTAGATCAAATTCCACTTCAAAGTCAACTGACTCTTGTTTCTACAAGCAATAAAGCTAAACTTCACATCCAATGAACAGAGCATATGTGTGTTATTATTTCGCTCAGAGATTATAATAATATAAATAATAATAAAGACTTTATTTCTGTGTCAGTTTACTAACTATCTACTACAATATTCCTAGACCTAGTCGATACATAATTTAAAATAAATACTACCATATTTACACATATTTCACGAATTACAAAGCGTGCAATTGGCACAACTATTTTCGTTCAGTAATGATTAGTTCAGTAAAGATTATAAGTAATGTTTACAACATGAGCGGCCGTGTTGTATCGGATATACAAACTCGAGCCGAAGGCGAGAGTTTGTATATCCGATACAACACGGACGCGAATGTTGTAAACAACTTAAAAAACGACTCATCTTATGAGTTCATTGGCGAAGTAATTTTAAAAATAAACTTTGTCTTAGCCGAGAAAATCAAAGTTAAAGTTTATGTAAATCAACATGAATCTGTATCACATATACAGATACGACACGCTTATGATTTTTCTTTGTGTTTTCTTCATGAATTATTAATGAGTTTTTTAAATGATTTTAACGACTTGTGAGAGGCAGTACTCCCAAGAATAGCGGAATAAGTGTGAGAAAGGCTAATTTGACATTATTCATCATGTTGAGAGGACCATGGAAGGACCAAAGATCAAATTATTTTAATAAATCTATTTAAATTGTAAATAAAGCCGACTTTTATTATCTATAATGAGTCGTATAATATCGCCACTTCTTTTGCACAAATGTGAACTTTTTCAAGTTTGATTCCAACAAAATCCTTACCTTAACTTCCTTTCCTTTTGAATCGTGTTTAGTCCGGTGGTCATCCCCCTTAGAACGAGAATCTGTCTTTGACGAATCTTCTTTTTTCCGAGGAATCTCCTTCTCTTTTCCACGCAATTTCTCAGAATCATTTCTTTTCTCTTTCTTATCTTTCGAGGAATCCCTGCAGCGCTCTTTTTCCTTTGAGCCACTCCTAGAACTGCTACCGGATGATCGGTTTTCCGACTTCTCGTTGGTTGATTTTTGGTTTGTGTTTTTAATATCCTTCACAGAGGATTGTTTGGAATACGGTAAGGAATGCGATATTGTTTTTTTATCTGATTCAGAGTTTGCAGTGAGTTTATTCTTATTTTTACCTTTGTCAATATTTTTCCCTTTGCCTTTATTCTCATCTTTATCTATGGCCTTACTTTTGGATTTAGTAATGGTATTGCCAGCGTCTGATGAACTACTTGCCTTAGATTGTGATAACATTGACGTAGTTTTGGTATTTTTCGCTTTATCTAAGTCATATATAGGTTCGCCATGACCAATGGATGTTTCGTCTGAAATCTTCAGACCTGAATCCTTACATAACTCCTGTTTAATCCCAGAACATTCTTCGCCTGTAGAACTGCTTTTCGTCTCAACACAAGACCCACTTTGTGATGAAACAACTAAATCCCCTTTTTTGGTTTCCGTAGTCATACATGATGGTTTTGTATCAATTTTCTCCGCATTAGAATGCGTCTCGGTAACTGATGATAAAAAATCATCTTTGCTTTTGGATTCTGAGATACTAACCGTGATATTATTTGATAGACTTGCACCACTTGTACCTTTCAATTCAGGTGCATCAATACTACCTATGTTTTGTTCGGTTTTGATAGTTTGCGACGAATTAACTGTACTGGTACTCCCAACATGCTTAGCATACCATGCCCTATCCGCGTCAATAGATGAAGAATATTCCTTATTACTAAAACTTGACGTAACAGATTGATCTAAAGTCTCAGGCTGTCTTCTCTTCGCCATTTCTTGTAAGGCTCTAGCGTACATGCTGTTGTGTAATACTGGTTGGGAATACTGCGAGGACATCGGAAAAGCCGGGACAAAATACAATGGTCTTGGTGTAATTAATCGAGGAGATATGAGCCTCACTTGTCTAGACCCAAGTTGGGTCTGATTTTCAGGATACCAGTTGATACCAGCAACTGCTGAAAACGGTCTTGGGTTTACGTGAGGCTGTGTTGGTTGCTGGTTGAAATGGCTGGGTGGCACTGAAAAGCCTTTTTGGTTTAAATGGCTTACTATAAAAGGGTTAGCAGTTGGTAAATCAGAATACATATTTTGGTTTAGTGAAGTGGCACCAAACTGTACAGAATAAGGATAGGTCTTGCTTGGGCCACAACTCCATGAAACAGGATCATTTCCTTCATACCTCCCTCTACCATAAACTTGTGTGATCATCCCACCACTTGATGGCGAGGTCTGTTTCAACAACATCGTGGTGGAAGGTCCTTCTGTAATTTGGATGTACTGTGGATGCAGGTCCTTCTTATCATTGACTGAATTAAGTTCTTCTGTTTTTGTTAAACCTTGTTGAGAAGACACTAAATCGAATTTGTTGTTCTGCACATTGGAAGCAGAGTTAGTGATCTGCTCGCTCTTCTTTTTCTCCTCAATTTTTCCAAACACAATCATTTCAGGTTCCTTTTCTGAAGTGTTTAAAGAAGACAAATGTTCCTCCGGGTGCGTTTCATTCTTTTTAATATCTGGTGCAGATCCTGGAGTTGCTTCTTGTACAATTTCTTGTTCGGGTAAGCTTGCTGGTGGGGCAGGTGCTGTTGGGGCAGGTTCAGGTGGGGCAGGTGCTGGTAGGGCAGGTGCTGGTAGAGCAGGTGGAGGTGGAGGTGGGGCAGGTGCTGGTAGGGCAGGTGCAGGTGGGGCAGGTGCTGGTAGGGCAGGTGCTGGTGGGGCAGGTGCTGGTGGGGCAGGTGCTGGTGGGGCAGGTGCTGGTAGGGCAGGTGCTGGTAGGATAGGTGCTGGTGGGGCAGGTGCTGGTGGAGCTGGTTCGCTTAAGGAGGGAGTCGTCGATTTTTGTTCTAAAGTATTACTGGAAGTCGATGTCACTTTGACTGAAGATGAGTCAGAAGTGGTCGTTTCCTCTGCCACTGAAACATTATGTTTTATTTGGGACTCAGTAGGTACAAATTTGTGAGTTAACAAAGCCCTGCTTTGATCAGTAGTTGCTTTTAAACTCTTCATTATAGTTCGTGATATAACATTAGATTTCTGTTCACTCGAAGAATCTTGAAATGGAAGTGAACCAGTAGAAGTTGTTTCTCTTCTTGTTCTAAAGTTCTTTGTCGGCTTTGGCGCAGGTAACTTTTCCCGGTCTGTCATCAAAGTAATAGTTTTATCAGTAGCTGTTTCTGAACTCTTCATTATAATTCGTGATATATCATTTGTTTTCTGTTCACTCGAAGAATCTTGAGAGGAAAGTGAACTAGAAGAACTTGTTTCTACTCTTGTCCTAAAGTTCTTCGTCAACTTTGACACAGGAACGTCTTCCCGGTCAGTCCTCAAAGTAATATTTTTATCATTGGATGATAAAAATTTTCCTTTTATGCCCGTTTCACCCCCTTGAGGCCGCTTCATAGCATCATCAAAAATACTTAACATCCCTTCACTGCCTTGTTCGATAAAAGGTAAGTTTAAAAGTATTTTAGTCTTCTTCCCAAACTTCTCACTATTGTTTTCATCTGATTTTCTCTTGAGAGTCAATTGTTGCTTACTTCCTTTTAGATTTTCATTCTTCATTGAGCTGGCATGTGGTCCTTTAATATTACTCATTTCTTTCCCGGATGCCAGTTTGCCCGATTTATTCAAATCCACATCTGGTACATGGCTACGTGTTTCTTCGTTGGAAGATTGAACACATACTTTGTCAATTTCACTTTTCCTTGCTATGCCAATTCTTACACTGGACAAATCCAGCAAACAATGTGCTGTCTCCTCTTCAGACAACTTCCTTTCCTTGTCAATGGGACTCAGGCCTGTCCTTGTACACGTTTGCTCCTTCGCATCATCAATATTTGAAATCGTCTCAGACTTGCTTTGAGACGTTTGAGATATATCCAATAAAACATCCTGGGTATTATTATTTTTTTCACTTTCACTACAAAATTTACCTTTCATTTCAATAGAATTAAATTTTTCACTTTCATATGCTTCCAGCTCCAGAATTTGTGGCCGCCCTTCAGATTTTGTATCACAATGCAGCAATTTCTCATCAGTACTTGCATTTCCCACTGATTGCTCTGCAGGAGCAACATCTGAATTTTTTACCGCAACGTTTGAAATGATCTTACTCGATTCAATTCTTGTTTCTTCCGTATGTGCCTCGCTTTTTAGGTCATGAGATGAAACATTTCCATGCACCTCCTGTGTTCTAGTGTTGCCTGGTTCATCTTTACAATCATTTCGTTTCATCAATTCGTTTCCGTTGTTTCCCATTTCATGTGTGAATGTCTCTTTTTCATGGCTTATTTGTTCAGCAAAAACTCCGTCAAAATAACCCTTCCGCGGTTCAGGTAGTTTACCAAACTCAGGTGACATGCATTCACCGTCAGCAAGACATGCGCTGTCTCCAGAACTACTAGACCTAATGCTAAGCCTCAGGTTCTCCTTCTTTAAAGTCTTCATATCACCAACCGTCGTAGTTTTATCACCACCATCAGACAAACGTTTGTTAAACATGATATCATCGTTTTGCAGTGTTTTTGAAACATCGCCGCTTTCCTCTGTATTCAGTTGAGGTCCTGTGCAGCCCTCACTGTTCAAGGTGTCAATGTGTTTATCTGCAAATTGTAAACATTCCTCTTGGTGCTGAAGAACATCATTCTTCTTTGGAGAAACGTCCTCCTTAGACTGCTGAATATCATGGCCAGTATCTCTGCTGGTGGAACTACTCAACTGATGTTCTACTTCTGGTATACTGCTAGTAGTGTCTCCTCGTTTCTGTTCTTTTGTTCTTGCTTGCTTCACAAATAAACTTGCTTCATTGTTGCCTTTGTTATCATCTTTTACGTGACCTCCATCATCTTTCACGTGATTATCATCATCTTTCACGTAGTCTTTATCGCCTTTCACATGCTTTTCATCATTGTTCACGTGGTCTTCAACTTCTTTCACGTGGTCTTTATCATCTTTAACATGGTCTCTATCATCTTTCACGTGATCGTCATCATCTTTCACGTAATCTTTATCACCTTTCACATGCTTTTCATCATTGTTCACGTGGTCTTCAACATATTTCACGTGGTATTTATCATCTTTAACGTGGTCTTCATCATCTTTAACGTGGTCTTCGTCATCTTTCACATGCTTTTCATCATGGTTCACATGGTCTTCATCATCTTTCACGTGATCTTTATCATCTTTCACGCGGTCTTTACCATCTTTCATGTGGTCTTTCTCATCTTTAACGTGGTCTCCATCGTCTTTCACGTGGTCTTCGTCATCTTTCACATGCTTTTCATCACCTTTCACATGCTCTTCTTCATCGTTCGCATGGTCTTCATAATCTTTCACGTGACCTTCATCATCGTTCACGTGACTGTCATCCTCCACGAGTCTTTCGTAGAGGATGACTGGTCTCTCCGCTGGTTCAAAATAATTACTTTCTTCATATCCAACACTATCCTTGACGAAGTACCCGGTGTCTCCAAAATATTCATATTCCTCTTCATTACAAATATCATAAGCTAATGTTTCATCACAATACTCGGGAACGAATTCAGGTGAAGCTTCATACGAGGACCAGCTTCTTTTTCCTAGACTTCTATTACTCAGACTTTCACGAGAATTTTCACGCTGCAAAGCCAATTCACTTTTGGTATTTGTTGAATTGTTTGCCGGTGCATTCTCGATGGTTATCGCTGGAGTAGTGTTTTCTTCTGGTGAAATCAAAGTCTGGTTAGTCTCTTTAGTGTTTTCATTCTCATCCAAGATTTGTTTTGTTGCATGAGGTTGCTCTGATTCGCTTTTAACAGACGAATCCTTATCAATCTGTTTTTTTCTTTTCTTCTTTTTTACAGTATTTCCCTTGCTTTTACTGGAACTCTCACTCTCTAGGCTAGTGTCTGAGCAGTTCTTTTTTAAGCGAACTTCTTTATCCGATCCATGTTTTCTTTTTGTTTTTGAATATTTAACAGAAGTTCTTTTGTTTGTGTTGGGAAATAGAATGTTTTCGTCTTGTGATGAACTGGAGTCGATACGTGCAATGGTGCTATTGTTTGTTGTTCTTCCACATTTCTTTTTCTTGGCTTTACTGGTTTGGGGTGGAGGGGATGTTGATTCAGACTTGCGTTTTTCAACCTGACAATGCAATTGTTTGTCAATTGTGCTGGACATATTTAGAGAAAGTGGGTACAATATAAACCAGGGTGTGATAAACAAGAGGCTCTTGTCTAACCCATTTTCATTCCCACATGTTTATTCAGTACAATTACAAAATTACAACAGCTGTAGTTAACATTGAACACTGTCATATAAGTAATGGGAGACCTTTTACATTTAGTGAAGTTTTGAGTTCATGCAGCTAAATAATGCAATAGATTGCAAGGCCGTCTGAAGAGGGGGGGGCGGGGGGGGGGGGCTCCCCAATAATTTCCATTTGTATAAGCAAAACACACAAAAGAACAAGAAAAGTGCAAAAGCAATTCAGATTTATTCTTGAGCCCAATATTGAGGGGGGCCTAATATTGATTTACTTCCGGCGGCCTTGGATTGAAAGAATGTGAATACCAGATTTTCAGTTTGGATATCAGGTTGAAATTGCTGCATCCACCATGGATTGCTGAAGAACATTCTAACCTCAAACCCTGCCCAAAAATACAGTTTAGCACTACTGTAGGAAGGAATTTTGTAATAGCCGCTGCAAATGTGATCAGCAAGTCATTATATCCCTCTCACACTGAAGACACCCTGGTGTCTACGGCCCTGCAATTTAATAGTGTCACTTAACAATGGAGGCTTGCTCAGAAAAATGCTCTCAGTATTCTATTTGTATAGTAGAAAATATTCTAGTATAGTAGAAAATATTCTAGTATAGTAGTATAAACATTATTGAGGGTCATTTGACTGTTGTAACTGTGTTGAGTTTGTTTACGTGACAATTGTCATAGACACTAGTCTGTGAACAGGTTAAAATATAAGTATAGAAGAATATATTCAGACAGAATAGTAAATTTTAAAATCTACTATTCTGGTTGTAAGTAGAAGCGAATGTAAATTTCGAACTCTGCAATGAATATGTTATTATTATTATTACGTTGTTCTACCTTAGTCTTTTTATTTTTTCTACTTCTCTTCCAGTATTGTTCAAGAACACTTTTACAATCAAACAAATTTTCCTCTGGCTCCCAAGTGTCTTCTTCTTCTCCAAAACCTTTCCATCGCACCTGATAATATCGTATACCCTGAGAAATGAAGACTTTTATTATGCTTTCAAGTTGATTTAAAATTTGATATTAGCTCACAATTCACCCACGACAACGTAAGCGAGTTGTGTGCTTGATTTACTCAGTACAACTCAAGTTGTAAGTAAGCACTAGGTTGCATGCGACAATTTTAGGCAAAAGTTGTAGTGTAAATTTTCAAGGGGGAGACGGAAAGTTTACCCTAAACTCCTTAATAAGATATCCTACAGAGTAGGTAATTTAAAAAAAATGCATCCAAGTAATTTACAATTTTTTTATTCTAAGGGATTATGAAGAAGTCCCTCAATGAAATGCAGTCAGGTAAGGGTACTTGATTCAAGAAATTCACTGACAAAATTAATTTTTATTTTGCCAGGATTTTGAGCACTAGACTCTTTTGAAAGGAGCTTTTATAACAGAATGTGCATTATGAGGCTGAAATATGCATTGCGTGCCACATTTAATTGACATCATGATTGGCCGATTGGGCATTAATGGCAACACATATATTAAACTCATAGTGCACGCATTAAACGAAATATATAATCCTGTTTACACACCGTTAAATTGTTTCTATTATAGAATATCAATAACCTCTTCAGTAAATGTTTGAATTTCAGACGAACAGTCAACATTCTGATAAACTATCGATGCGTTCACATGTGGAATTTTTGCGTATAATTTATACATACAAAAATGTTACGTGTTCTAAACTTATCAAGTTTTCAAATGCATAATAAACCACTCACCTTTTTAACAGAGCTTTCAAGAATATTTTCTATTTCAAAAACATCGTCTTCTCCCTCCATACTGCACAAAATAAGTGAAAACACTGGCAAATAACATCGTCTGTTTTGAATTGTATTGTTCGGTTGTTTTGATGAAAAATCAAATATGGCTGCTCCTGCACGAAAATTATTTCTGGTATTTCTTGGCGATAAAATAGGCGTTCGAATTAGTTCGAACCGGGTACCATCATATATCTGTCAATAGGTGCCATTGTTTACCATTGGTTGATTGATTCGAACAAAAAATAAAATAATAAAATAAATAAACAAAATATAACGTGGATGGTAATCGAACAAACCGTGGCTACAAGGTATGCCAAAATGTGGTGCCAAAAAGTGGCTAAAAATGGCCAAAAAGTTAAGGGGTTAGCCTTTACTTTTTGACCAATTTTGGTCACTTTTTGAAAAAAAAACTTTTTGCTGTAATACACTGTTACTTATATTGCAGTCTTTGTTCTTATTTATGGAAAGAAAATGTACAGCTACAAACACTATGAATAAGTAGTACAAACTATGTTACAAAATGTACCACTGGATTGTCCTTTTATCTTACTTTTGTCAGGTCAGGTTCACTAACATATAAAATATACTCTCACTTGTTCAAATGTAACTAGCATTTCACTAGCAACACCGGTTAGAAACAAGTTAGAAAACTAAAATAACAATATAGGAATGGTTATATGTTATTCAAACTAGCGTAAAAGTACTTGACTTGCTTGTGAATGATGTATGGTAACATTGGATTTTGCTGGAGCATTTGCCGACTTCTTGACAAACCAACCAGCAGCCGTGCAAGAATACATGACCGATGCACAAGCAAACACAAACTCAAATGCAGCCAAACATATGATCACAGCCGCCAATCCCATGCCTTTTCGACCATGAATCTTCATCTCGCTTAACAGCTTTCGTTCTTCTTCGGGATCAAAGGTTACAACATCGAGATACCCTGTTCGTATCTTCTCTATGGCTGCTTGCTCTGATGCAGATACACAATTCTCGTAATAGCTGGTCCTCATGTACACTGCAACATATCGTCGTGAGTAGAAGTCATCAACCGATGACGTATCACCTACTATCTCATCGTAAAAGTCAGCCATTCCGGTACCATACGAAATGCAGAGAATGATAGATAGGAGGGCACAAAATATGGAGAGGCATGAATACCAACTTATCTACAAAAAAATCCACTTTCTTAGGTTGAAGCTTACTAGATGGTCCTCTTTTCACTAATGGTCAAAAAAACCTTTTCTCTCACTAAAACAATATTTTTAAATTTATAAAAACATGTTATAAAATGCTTCTCCAGTGGCCCACCCTCTCCCTCCCCCTTGGTCCTGTGGGGACTGGGATTTTGGGTATGACCGTTAAGAGACTTACCATTTGTTGTCCCCTCACTGAACAACTATACAAGCCAATAGCTGCTGTAATAAGAACCTAAAGAATAATTCAAAGAAAAAAATTTCATCCAACCAATACTGTAATAGGGGGTGGGCTCTCTTAACCCAATGAGCAAAAGCACCCTCCCCTTGATGAGTAAAGTCATCTGGAGTCAGACAGAGTAAAGTAATCTGGCATTATTTACAGAGTAAATAATAAAGTATCTGAGCACATTTAGGGACAGAAACTTTCCCAAAAATATCAGTAAAAAAGTTGAAAATTTTCAGCTCACATTTTACAAAATCACATTTTACAAAATTTTCTTTCTGTGGAAAATGTTCCTGAGTGGAAATGGCAAATCAAGAATTATATCATATTTTTTCGACAAGAAACTACAATATGGCTGTTATTATAACAAACATGTTATTAATATTACACTCAGCATTACCGTGTCAAAACATTTCACAAAATTGTCTCAAGGAATGAAAGTATAAAATAAAAGCTTTTTTAACATTTTAAAATACATTTGCATCAACAATTTAAGCAGTTGTAAATCGGAAATGAAGGCAGTAAAATTATATTGCGTATTGTCAATAGCTTCAACGACCGAGTGACTTACAAATCTTAGATGTCATTTCAAGCCCACTTTATACCGCAAAATTAAACTTTTATCAAACCCCAAAACAGCATGAACGTTAATCTAAACCACATAGCTAAAGAACGGTCAATTATGGAACAATCATTTCAGCGATATCAAAATCACTATTTTGATAGCATACATCAAAATATTTGAATATTTGCAACTTACGATGACCCCAATCCAGATGCCCAAACCGGCCCGTGAAGTCCAATGACAAATCAATGTAGCACAGACAATGCCAAAAACAAAAAGTAAAATCCCTATCATGATTTGTAAACCGGCTATAAGCCGTACAAGACCTTTACCACTACCATAAAGTGTGGCCATTTTCAAAGTTCTTTTACGATTGAAGAACGCCAAGAAAATTGCCAAAACATTCCATTCCCATATATGGGTATGTCCCGACTAAACGTACCCGGGGATATTGTCAGTATAAAATGTCCGGTAAGAGGTATAGTACCGGACAAAGGGCGTCATATTGGAACTACCCTTTCCATGACCATTGACAGTATTCCATTTAGCCATTTCTATTATACATGCGACATCCTATGATGCGACATCATAGCTTTTCCGTTTATCTATCCGTTCGTGTGTGGAGAACTAAAGAAAATGCATCTCTCATAGGCGCATGAGAGGGGCGGGGGGGGCCTAGGAGCCCCGCAATGACTTTTTGGTCGGGCTGATTGTAATTAAAAATCGGGCAAATGATTACGGTATTGGCAAGCGCGATGCGTATTACAATCGTAGAGATTACAATGGTCGAAAAAAAAGAAATATGCAACGTTGCCAAAATGTCTAACGAATCTCGCGAACCTCCACTCCTTTGTGGAAGGAATTTTGGGAAGTCATTTATTACGAAAAAAAAATTTGCATTGGTCGCGCAATTTCATTGATATCTGGCAAATTTTTTCCCTCCCAACCCCCATGTTTAACACACTAATGATAATATACAAAGATTGGGACAACCGGATTCAGTTCTGTCGCAGAAACAGAAAAAAAATGAGTCCAATTAAGGCCATGTTACACGGTGCAATTTTTCTTCCAAGTTGCAATGCAGTTCTACTCTTGAGAGATGTTAATTAGTGAAATCAGTGAAGAATTTTCGATATGTTGAGAAAACGGAGTGTAAAGTAACTCGTATTTGGCAATTTTACATTTCTCAAGAGTAGAATTGCATTGCAAGTTGCAAGAAAAATTGCACCGTGTAACATGGCCTTTAGATCGGCCAACATTGTTTCCACAATCAGAAATTTTACTTGTCTATGTTATTATGCATTATTACAAATATTTACATACATTCTGCTATCATTTTGGTCAATCTTCCATCTTGGGTCATTTAATTGTCTTAGTCTCATTACGATTTGCGCTCCTGTCACGTTCCCATCATTAGTATCATTCGCGCACTTTCTTATATTTAAGCGCATTTAATTCTAACGAACTATTGCTCTGCCATATATACATGCGCAAAATTTAAATGAGCACGACAATAGGGAGAACAAGGCCGTACATTCAGACTAACCCTTCAACCTTTCTATCTTTCCTAACTACAATTCTAATTGTCAACTGCTTGAAATTATTACAAGCAAATTCCCAAAGTGTATATCGATTGGCACGTAAAATTTACTTCGCCTTTTTGGCTGCGTATTGTGGTGAAATAGCTATAAATATTCATAGAAAAATACAAAACTACGGGTGCGTATAAATATATGTTCTTGGAATTCTAGGAATTTCTAACGGGGTAGACTAGTATGTCGATCCACTTAATCTTCGTTTCACGAAGCCCATGCATCCAAATGAGCCTGGATCTGGAAGATCGGTAGATGAATAATCTTCAAGTCTCGTGACAATAACCAGCCATCTAGCATTGAAATTAACAAGTTCGTCATGGAGTGCAGCTTTAGAATCTTCATCAGCTACATCTTCCAGGTCTTTGCTTGCAGTATTGATACGATCAACAATAGCTTGGCTTCTTGGAAATTCAGCGATTCTTTCCTGGAGAAAAAAAAATTAGGAATGTTGAGACTGATTGGTATGAGTGCATGTTGCCTCTGTGACCAGACTTTGTGACAACAGTTTACAAATATTGTTTGTGATATCCATACCGTGTATATCCACACCGGGCTAGCTTGAAAATATACCTGGCCACGGTGGGAATAGAACCTACGGCCTTTGGAATACCAGAGCATTGGGCTAGTATTCCAAAGGTCGTAGGCAGGCATATTTTCAAGCTTGCCCATGCAGTGTGGATATACACTCAGAGTAACATCACAAACATCATACTCACCTGAGTACATAACACCAACACAGAAAAAAATCAAGTTTACAAATATTAATAGACATATCTTGTGTAAGTAGAAATTTAGTTAAGGCTGGTGTGATCCATACTGGACCTCTACAGAGAGAGAGAGGCTGACAGAGAAATGTAGCGGTATGAATAAATGGCATGCTGCATTGCTGTAGGTTGGATTCAAAAGTTAACAAATGCATGCATGATCTAACAATGCTAACGTGTCGACAAAAACCTTTAGTTGAGTACATAAATATTTCGTGCATACCTCCAAACTTTTAACCAAGCCAACAACATCTTGTTGAAGAGTTTCTTTTTCTTTTTTCATTCGGACTTTCTTTTCTCTCGCTGTTTCTCCATCTTCAACGTCCTGAGACATGTTCCCTTGCAGTCGTTGTGTCTTCGTCTCATGTTCGTCAAGTTCCGCGTTTGTATCGTCAATATAGGTGTTCACACGTTCTTTCTTTTCCTTCAAATCAGCTTGCTTGTACTGAATGTTCCTTAGCTAAAGCGCAAAATGGATTGTAAAACTTCGAAATATACACCTCTTAATAAAAGATGTGAAGACGAGCCTACATACCAATTCTATCCGTGCTATGATATCTTTAGCCATTGTATTCCATCTCCGATCTAGCTGAGAAAGTTCTCGATCAATGGTTCTCGATGCGGCTGCTTCGTCATTCAAAAACTTCATTAATGCCATGCCTTTGATATGAGACTGGGATAAAACTACTCCTTTGTCTTCCAATTCAGATTGAATGTTCTAAAGAGAGGAAATTGGATTTACACTCTCCCTGTCCAAGGTCTTTCTCATTCACAAATATATTGGACAGAAAAAAGTATGTTATATCATGCTAAGAATACATCTATACATGCAAGAATAACTCTTGTATATGTGGCTTAATTATTGCGTTATATATCATGTTCTGCATAACTTTGTACTTGTAGGGACAACAAACTTCGTGCTGTGTTTTTCGGTAAAATTAAGAGTGATAGTTTGATTACTTATGCCCGTTGCCAAGACAACAAAGGGTAACTCATACCTTGAGATCTACAATCTGTTTTTTCATTCCCTCTTCATCCGACCAATTTATTTTCTCGTTAATTTTCGACAATTGTTCCTCGTTTGGATCTAACCATTCCACGAGTAAGTCTTGTTCTTGTTTTAGCACCTTCCATTCTTTGACGACTTTTTGTAATTCCAGAGAATAATCATTTGACCATTCCTTTAAAACTTTCCATCTTTTTTCTAAATTTCTCACATCCGTTTTGTAATTCCTCTCCAGTTCAGTCACTCTCTCAGCTGCATCCGCCATCTTCTCCATGTTTTTCTGGTTTAATTCTTCTTCGAATTCCTGGAAATTAGAATACAGATGTAACAAATTAGGATTTCTAATGACAGTTGGCACAATGGATAACTAGCACTCAATAAAGCGTTACAATGATTACATTACCTTATGTTCGTTCAGTTCTTTCTGAAATCCAGGTAGATCTTCAATTTCTAAATAACTTGATGACATCCTGTTCTCATTAACAGCAATCCAAGTCTTCCGATCTTCAATTTCCTTTCTGAATAGCACTAGATATTCGTCTAACAGCCTGCTAAAACAGACACCAACGTCAGAGAAGAACAGCAATTCCTCTTTCTTCAATTAATCAGGGTTTGAAATGTTCCTCACTTTTTCAAGTTGTGCATTTTTTTTACCTCTTTCCCATACGTTATTCAACCTGTACAATCATTATAACAAGCATTCCAAACTCCATTAAACAAAAGTCCAGGCCATCTCAGAAAGAAAAAGGGTAGGAAATTTGCGGGAGCCATTGAGTATTTTAATAAAATATAGTACAACGGAAACTCCGACAATTTCATTTTTCAGTCTAATTCTACGTTTCGACTAATCTGCAGTAAAAACTATTTTTACCAAAAATCGAAAATTTGTTGTTATTTCGAACTTTGTTGTGCATATATTTATTCCTTTATTCGGCAGAGCATCGACTTACTCTTTTCACATGAATATCTTGAGTCTGGAACGAGAATCGAACCGCGATATCAGAGGTGAAAGGCGAGTGCTCTGACGATTGCGACACCAAAGCCCTATACCTATATCACCCAAACCTACCGGTTAAACTCCACACGTGATTTTCCCGTCATTGTACTGGCATGTTCCCTCAACTGCTTGATTTTTTCATCCACTCCAGTCTTGTCTTCTTCGTTAAGGATAAGAATACCAAACGTTGTTATTGTTGTCGCCAATTCTAGAGTTCCCTGTGCTTTCTCTTCAAGCTCCACCATGCCCTCCGCAATACGCTAAACATAAGGAAACATGCAATTCTAAACGTTGATGCATGCAATGGATGATTCCATCTTTAGACTAAATTTTGATCTAGGCAAGAAGAACAAAATCCATCACCACAGCTAGAAAGAGCATGTTAAAATGAGTAAAATTACAAAGTTTGGTTGCGAAATGTTGTAAAATGAGGAAAATATAGCACTGCGAAATTTGCAAATTTTGTATTAATTTGTATTATGCACGGGAAAATGCACCGGAACCAAACTTTGGAACCAAACTTTCGGAACCAAACTTTGCAATTTTACTAATTTTAACATGCTCTTTCTAGCTGTTGTGATGGATTTTGTTCTTCTTGCCTAAATCGAAATTTAGTGTATAGCTGGAATTGCATAATGCAGGAGAATTACGCGCAAACCATGAGACCAGTTTACACTAAGGACATTGACTATGTGTGATCGCGGATGGGAAAATATATGCGAACCTTTGCGCCATTCATCTGTTCCGTGGCTGTATCAAAGTCTTCACATAACTTCGTCTCACATAAAGTTGCTTGAGCTTCTTCAAAAGCATGAATTGAGGTGGACAACATGCCATTTAAACCTTCAATCAGTGTAGTGTATAACCTATAACCAAATGATTAGACGAGTTTACTAATAGTCTGAGATTAGTTAGCAGAAGAAGAAACCTTTTATACATATAACATGCACATAAGAATATATAGTTTCCCATTTTGATTCCACTAAAACACGGCAGGCTTTACCAGGAACTCCTCCTGTAGGGACACTAGAGAAGTTCAGATTTGACTTCTGGATTGCATGGCGATAAAACATACAATACAAACAAAAAGTATTACATATTTCTATACCTAGAGTGCTTTTCCTGAATTCGTCTTTGAAGTTTATTTCTTGATTTAGCAATCGCTTGAATCTCTCCTTGATACTCTTTCCCTTGCTGTTCATTCAACATGGCTTCTGCGATCAACCTCTCATTCAGCTCCAGTGTGTTCAAGAAACCTTGTTCTCCTTTAATTACCTCTCGTCTCAGTTCCTGGGGAAATACAAACGTTAAACTGGCGGTGAAATAGATAAAAACAAACTTTGAATCTAGTAGAGACTACCATACCATCCATCATGCAAATGAGGGCTTTAAAATTTTACCTACCGGTAAACCTGGAAAAAAGTTGGATCTTGCGGATCACTTGCCTTAGCAAGAAGACCGAGGAAGATTTTCAATTTTTCACACAAGGGTTGTGGGAGATTCTTACCGATTGCCTTAGCAAGGAAAAGTCTAATGAAATTTTAAAAAGTTACGAGATAGTTCCCCGTACATTTTGTCAATAATAGAGAGTTTAAGCTTCGCGTTATACGGCAAACGCCAGGCAAAGAAAAATTTTACGGTATCAGGCAATAAAGAGTAAATAAACTTGCTATTTTAAAACTGCAATGCATGACTATTCTTTCGATACAAATATGAAAATATGAAACGAAAACGTTTAACAAAAATTTTGCCAAGAAAGTTCGAACCTGCCGTTTGCCGTTCCCGGAAACGCAAAGCTTACGTGGCTAATCGTTACGCTATATTTGGTCTATTTCTGAGATGAGTTACCTGCAGTTTGCAGTATTCGTCATAAACGCTGTTGATCTCATCAGCATCACTGTTAATCTCATTCAATTTTCTCTCACAATATCTTAACCATTTCTTCACATCATCCTTATGTTGACCATGGAAATTGATTACGCCCTTTGCAAGTCTGAGATAAAAGAACAACAGCAAGTCAGTCATTGGATTTCCTTTTCGAGTTTTTGGGTTTAGAATTATCGAGATAAGCATATAAAATTATATATAGTAAAACCTACGTAAAATTTCACACGGATTTCCGAATTTGTATTCAGACGGGTTTTCATAGTCATAGACGAATTTCCCGTCTCAAAGTGAATTCGGCTAATGATCTCCTTTAGTGTTCTGATTTTCATGATTAGATAAACTTGCTATAAGTCGACTCGTATTATCTAGCTGCGCGGTTGAGCACAAGTTTCTCAGGTTAAAGTGCGGATTTATTCGCTCACTTCAATGCGATTCATATTCAATGCGATCTGTGGTACGTTGAATGATTAGAGAACGTGCCTTGGAAGGCCCGAACGTGCGACCACAGAATAGGAAGTTATACCAGAAGCGTAACTCGAGCAAATATTTGTCCGCGTTTTTACAAGCGATTCGTCATCAATCACGCCATCCTGGCTAGTACAACCGGCACTTTGTACCTACCAAATCCTGATAAAAACTTCCGGCTGTACTAGCCAGGATGGCGTGGCCTGACGTGAGCGAGTTAAAATTTTCGTGGACGTCAAACAATAAGGGAAACGACTAGAGTTACGCTTCTGGTATAACTTCCTATTCTGTGGTGCGACCTTCCTTGTTGCTTCTAACTACGACGTCACAAAGAAATCGTCCCATTCGGGTTAGTGCACTTATACCCCAATGGGAAGGTTCATCCTAACGAATTGGCCAGACCGGCCAAATTGTTGAATGAAACACACAACGTTTGGACTTCGGACCTACCTGACTGGAAAATTTAGATAAAATTAGAATGAGGTCCATTTTCGCTAGATATTTGAGAAACATAGACCAGATCTCTCCATTGATACAGAGAAAATAATTCGGGTCTGACCAGTCAAAGCGCTCTATGATAGGCTCAATTACAAACCAGGAGCCTGGTATGCGAGGTTGTGCTGGGTACTCAGTTTCATAATTTAATTTAATTAGAATAGGATTTCCAACACTGAAAAACATATTGGCCTTGTCCACAGCCTTTGTGCTTAGAATTCCCGAATTGGCAAATTGAATGCCTAACTGGTAAACATGAGGTGCGCTTTACAATAAGAAATCACAATGTTTAATTCAGAGAATATATACAAGTGATTTCTCATAATACCATACTTTTGCAAGCTATGATGTGATTGCTTGCAAGTTATCCAACGTTGTGGTCAAAAGAAACTTTGCGAGTAGCTATTTGTGACCACGCACTATCTACATAAAGACAATTTAACTGAGTGTTTATATGATAATTATTCACTAGAATTTTCCATTAAAGGGCTGTTTATATAAGCCAGGCCAGCTCGGGATGAATCGTGTCACGAAATGTTTTTCCTGACCATAAAAGATTGTTTGACTTTGAATGAACTTTATAGTGTAACTGGAATCAAGCTAAGCTATAATTCGACACTCGAAATGTCATTTCGGATGTTATCAAAGCCGTGATAAGAGCTTTTACCCTGCAGCTAGGCGTATTGAGCCCCATAGAATCCTGATTACCCATACTCAGTTTATAAAACTATATTCCAGGACCATTTTCATCACTGAAATACACTAGCACACACTGTAATGTCAATATGACTCAAACCGGGTCAAATTTATCCTCACAAACTTCACATATTTCAACATGATGTTCGAGAACTTTATATATGTTCACAAACGCTGTGTTGGGTAAACTTGGGTTTGTACTATATTAATACTGTCAATGCATGGTTCTATAACCCACAAGAGTTCTGAGCGTACTACAATAAGAGTCACAAGTGTTCTGAGCGTAGATCTTACCGATTCTTAGTATCAGAAAATTGCTTCTCGACTGCAGCCATACGCGGTTCCAGTTCAACAGTCTTTGTCTTCAACGTGCCTTCAAAACCATCGGTCGAAAGATAACCCTTGTCTTCCATCTCGACAATTTGTCGCTTAGATTCTTCGAACTCTGACAAATGTTGTTGAAGGTAGTTTTCAGATTCCTAGATGAGATTATACAGCATTACATAACAACGTAGCAAGCCAACGGAGGGAACTGTTAATAATTAGAGATGCAAAAATTCATAAAAGCTGTCTGTCAAAAACAAAGCGTGTCTAGTGAAGTGGAGAAAATATATGCAAAATGACCACAAGTGATCATTAATGTAAAATAGAACTGAAATACAGTTTCGGTCTCTTTTAAAAGGTATATATTGAAACGGTGTAGCCCGTATAGACATTGACACGTAAATAGGAAGTAAAATCAATTGTGTACTACGCGGAAACAGCTGTAATGATTCAGATGGTTTCAAGCGGCAAATAAAAACTTAATAGAAAGTATGTTCAGTGAGATTTTAGATGGACGCCAAAGAGAAAATGATGTCTGAAGTTCAGTACGTTTTACACTACACAACTTTTGCCTAAAACTGTTGCATGCAACCTGTTTATACAACTTGAGTTGTACTGCTTGAGAAATGCGTACTCTGTTTCTAAGGTACTCTTGTTGACATTTTTGACAACGTGCCAAGTGGGAAGTTCATCTGGTAAAAAGTCGTGCGTCATGGGCAAAAAGCCGTTCGTCGAACACCGCGCACGAACGTTGCAGCATGTCGTATTTAAAGAACTAAAGCCGGTTTCGATTAGACGGAATTTTGCGCGTGGAGAACTTTTACTTGTCTTTTCTAGTTCCACCCGAGAAATCACAAGACAAAGCAAAATTCCGCCCAATGGTAACAAAAGGTGGTCATATGATGGTAACATAAACAGACCCTTCCGGAAAGTACTGGAAAGTTATTTTCACCAGTAACAAGATAAAAGGCTCTAAACCCAATATATTTCCGGAAGGGTGTATTCGCCCGCCTTTGTGAAGTGTCTGCAAACATGCGTTTTCTGAGTCAGCGAAAACCTCTGCCTAAAAACTTCATATGTTCACACACCTTGATCAAATCGACTTGATCTCGAACAACTGCGGCTTCTGATCCAACTGATCTCAATTTCTTCAAATCTTCCAGAACGCGATCCACCATCACTTCTGAAGAATTTAGTTTCTCTGTGAAGAATGCCAGTGTTTCGTTTCGTACACTGTGAATATAGAACAATGGATTATCAGAATAACTAAACATTTTCTTTTACAGTATTTTCAAATCATAAATAATAGAGTTAATTTATACTTTAAAATATCAAATATTTTAATATTTGTGATTCGACACACACTTGGCTGGTAATCATCTGAAAATCAACAGATTGTATTTTACAACTAAATAAATCAGCGTGGCTAAATAAATCTGTAAGTAAGTAAGTAAGTAAGTAAGTAAGTAAGTAAGTAAGTAAGTAAGTAAGTAAGTAAGTAAGTAAGTAAGTAAGTAAGTAAGTAAGTAAGTAAGTAAGTAAGTATATCAGAGTCTATATTAATAAATCACACAAGTAATTAAATATTCACACAAGCCATATTCACACAATAGCCATATAAGGCTCACGCAGGTTGACGCGGCAAAAATATCCCCTAAGGATCCTTGCCATCCACACACGTACTCACCACCACCTCGATGTGTCATCACAACATTCAATCTCCTTGTGTGGACTGGCAAGCTGCTCGAACAGCCAAATAAAGCTGTAAGGTGGAATACATAAAGCAGTGGCTTTTTGAAGGGAAATGGCAATAAAAATAAGGAAACAACTACTGTATTGTTACTGTCGCTAGCTAAACTAACACAGATCGTTCAAAAAAATAAAGTTTGTTTCATTTGGAAATGCCGTTCAATGCATTATTGCAAAACCGTTTTATTTATATTCTGTATCGGATTGTTGCAACACATTGAGACTTGCTACAAGTCGACCTCGTAATTGACTTCCGCAAATTCCTTACTCTTCAAGAAATTACTTCCTTGAAAATTCCTTCGTTCTAAACAAAGACGAAGAGCTTCGCGAAAGTCTACGCCTCCTAAACTTTCCTAGATTACTGAGAATGTTTGGCGCAAAATATCGGTAGCCGAGGGATTAGTTAGCACTTCTTCCTGCAAAATAAACACCGGACATTTTATGCTGATACTCTGGTTTCCTTCCGTGATAACTGCTTTATAAAACATGACCGTGAAAAATACGGGGAAATTAAATTAAAACAAACATTGAAACTACAATAACAAGACTTACTGAACTTTCTGCGATTCTGTGTATTGCCTCAAATCGTTAATCTTCTCCGAGAGTCTTGCAATAGTTTCAGTAATCTCAGCATTCTTCTGTCCACTTGATTCCTTTTCGTTGAGAATATCTTGTGCTCTGGAGGTGATTTCGTTCAGTTGTGGTACACAGTAGTTGTCTATTCCTCTTGTTATCTCCTATTCAGGAATGAACAGAGTTAATAGAACTAATTCCTCGTAAAAGTTTTTCATGTCATGTATTACGCTAGCAAGAAATTAAATCTAAAGTTGCTGAGTGGTGGTTGCACAGTCGCCACTGTAGTTTCATTCCCTCAATATGCAGTTGTCCTTCATCACATGTCAAAAAATACTTCAAATTTCTTTCTACCAAACATTGTAAGTTTTCTCCAGGTACTCTAAGTTGCTACTATAGTAACAATGGGCCAATAAGGATGGACCTTACTGGGTCTCTAGAGAGAACAGCTTAAAACCGAACCATTAAAGGTGGAGTTACACGAGCAACAAAATTCTGCAACTTGCAACAAAATCAGATTTCAACGCATGTTAAGTAGAAATGTCGACACATGTTGCCTCGTGATTTGTAATTTATGTGTAAACATTTTCAATTAACATGCGTTGAAATCAGATTTTGTTGCAAGTTGCAGCAATTTTGTTGCTCGTGTAACTCCACCTTAAGGCTGGTTGCATAGGTAAACTCAAAGTTTTGATGGATTTGTAAGAAATGCTTGAACAAACTGACTTAATATTAAACACTAAGTTAGGTCCCTCAAACATTTCCTACAAATCCATCAAAATTTAGAATTTACTGATGCAAAATTCCTACTGTGATCACAGAATCTTTGATAGTGTAAACCAGGCTTTACTCATGATTTTATTCTGTGTTGGTGTTATGTACTCAGGTGAATGTGATATTTGTGATGTTACTCTGAGTGTGTATCCACACCGGGCAAGCTTGAAAAATATGCTTGGCCACGGTGGGAAAAATATGCCTTCCCATCGTGGCCAGGCATATTTTTCAAGCTTGCCCGGTGTGATATACACTCAGAGTAAGATCACAAACAGGCTTGACTCTTTTTAACATTACAAATACCATACATCAATGTCTTACATTTGCAGTTTCTGGGAGCATGTTTAGTACAGCAAAGTCCCTGACGTTATTCTTAAGATGTAATTTCTCACGAGCGTCTGCAATCCACTTTTCTACTTCGTCCACTTTTCGTTTCCACTGAAGCAAAGGATCTGATGACTAACAAAAGGAGAGGTCGGTAAATGGTTGTTTTGTTAAGCAATACGTGAGGATATAGGAAAATCCTGAATATTAAGAACTTGTACTAGCAAAAGAAATTAAAACACTTACACTCATATCAATATGACTGAACGGAATACCAAATCTGTAAAGGGATTAGCAGAAAAAAAACAATCAAATGCATTATTCATAATATATTATCATAATATTCCTCATGAATTATTAATGAATCTGGAAGTTCAAAGCACTTACATTTTACAGAATTCATCAGCCTTGGTAAGCATATGATTCCACATGTTCTTAAACCTGTCAATATCATTGGTGACCTCTGTATATTTCTCTTTCAAGACCAAATGATTTGTGACTATATATCTTCCAAGATTTAAGACATCTGTTATACTTTCTTCATTTTCATTCTTCTCCGTTACAAATTTCTACAAAACAATAAAATATACCATTTAATACAACTACATCAAACTAACCTTTCAATCTGGTATTGTACAGTTAGGATGTCACAAACTTCAATGAAACTGGACCAATAATAATTGGCCCTTACTGGACGTCCAGAGGAAATAGTTTAGACACA